TGGTGGAGATGTTGCGTAGGCTGCAGCGCTTCCAAATCCAATTCAACAAATTCATCCCAGCCTATCATCATGCCTTCTACCGGCAATGCCGAGTTTCAGAGTACGGTTTCGTGAAGTTGATCGAGCTGCTTGAGGCCGTGCCGCATGTAGTCCAGGTGCATTGTGGGCATTTATGTTAATGCCGTCCTGTCTACTGCTTTAATTTGCTACGCTCTTTCAGCTTCCGCAAATATCGACTAAATAATTAGAATTAGCAGACTAGTTCTGGGGCCATTATCAGTAAAAAGTCACATTATTATTAATCTCGATGCTGCCCATCAACACTGATGTTTGGCACTAGGTTCTCCACCAAATGGCTCTCGGTTCGACCACCTGAAAAACGGCAACGGTAGCCTATATGGCCCCAGATGCAACATGGAATACTGGAACACCTGCAATACGGGCGAGGTACTAATAGGGATTTTAAGGGTGAGGATACTTGAGGCAATAATATATGGAACGTGGAGAAGGCATTGAGAAAATTTACATTTCGATCATTTCATTATTGCATTATTCCAATCAGGTACCGCAGCAGACCACGTTATTTGAAGGATATGAATTAATAGCGCGTGAAATGACAAAAAGCTCGTAATGTTTGGTTATAGGTTAATGATAGCTGGATTGTGTAAGACGATTGATGACAGAGAAATTTACGCATTAGTTAAGCCCTAACCTTAAACCTAGTCCTAAACGGCCGTCTAAGCAATATCATATTCATAAGCTTAATCGGAAACTTGAATCTAACATTACATTTCTATTTAAATGAAATAAGTAATCATCCATTAGGAATTTAGGGTAAGAATGACTTCCGTGGCTGCCTAAAGGGGAAGCGGGAAAAGGAACCGCTTATAAAACATATGGCTTTACGTCAAATTCCAGGAAATTAGGCCTAGAATTAAGGTAAGGTGTAGGTTTAGATTTAGAATAAAGTTTAAGGTTGCGACTAAGGTCAGATTTGGAATTGGGGACAACAAACATTTCTGACTACCGTCTAGACATGAAGCAACCCGACTTCTCAGAGCCAGGCCTGCTTGATGTAAATAAGTTGAACGGCCATCGAGAACACTGGATCCAGCACTCCTAAAGTAAGGCGACAACCTCTAAGTAACCGCTCAGTAAGTGACTCCATCAGGGCTTGGGCTGTCCTTCTTTTGCGTCTGGGCATGTATAGGCGACAGCAGCATCCGAAATAAGAACAACCGATAGGCTGCATCCGGAAAAAGTCTCGGTCATCACCGTGTCCCCTCGTCTCACCTATGCTGGCGCCAGCTTATTGATGACGTTGGGTCCGGCGAGCAGGGAAGAGGGGGAAGGGTGTTCTCACGGAATATTTGCAGAATGTTCTATTAGAAGTTCAACATATTTTGTGCAGCTTACCCAGCATACAACTTATCTTTAACAGCAAGAAGCCTCCAAATTAAGGAGTCTGTCGAGTTCATCCACCCGGCAGTGGAGCTCATTTTTTTCATTTCAACCTTGCCCAATTGCTACCTCATGGTATTGTAGGGGTCGAAACAGTGGGTGTGCTCAGAGCACTACAGCTACAACGCCCGGTTCCGTATAGAAAGGGAACAGTAAATATCCGTAAGAGTTGTGCATTATGTGCGGAACCTCATTGGTGGTCTGAGGCCTGGACGCGCGTCTATTTGCTAGCGTGCTGTGGGCATGCATGCGAGAGTGACTCACTCGCCGCTTGATCAGTTGCTTGACCAATAGAAGTTTAGAAGTCAAGTTGGCAAACATATGTTTTCAGTAAATCATCATCAGGCCAGAACAGTTGCAGGGTAATTAAAACTCTACA